TGGCCTGCTGTGCTCCTCCAGCTCCACACCTTTTGTTAGATATTGCTTCAAACTTGTCTGACCCAAATGCAAAAGTTTCATTTCCGACTCCTTTCTCCTAGGCTATTGTAGCGAGTAAAGCAAGCCAATTCACTGGTTACGCTCAACACGATGCTCAGGAATTCATGGCGTTTCTGTTGGATGGCCTCCATGAGGACCTCAATAGAATACAGAATAAACCGTACACTGAGACCGTAGATTCTGATGGGCGTCCAGATGAGGTACATCATGCTGCTTGGTAACACTCTGACCTGGAACTCCAATTGTTGCCTTACTGCTTCACAAGTGCTCTGTATTAAACAGTCATGTTTTTTGTTTTGCAGGCATATCTCTTGACACTGTATTGTGGCTTTTTTTATAAAAAAAACTGCAGTGGTCTCCCTTTTAATAAGTCAAGTTCCAGAGATTTTGTACGGATTTGGGCACACTGTTATGGAACTAGCATTAATTGCACAGTGTGTTCAGTGTAAATTGATCAACTGGTTATAGTGTGGAAAGGTCTTTCCTGTTCCAACTAAAACAGAAGATTAAATGGGAAGTAGCCGCCACTGTTCTGCCAATTAAATGAAAATTATATCCTTTAATCTGTAACCTTCCTGACTACCTACTCCTTATTAAAACATTGATTTTTAATTGTCTCCATTAAAACTTCATTAAACATTCCTTGCTATCAGGAAAACAATCCCGGCTTCTCCAGTCTCTCTCATGGCTGTAATTCACTCATCCGTTGTGCCATTGGAGTAAATTACTGCACCGTCCCTAAGTCCTTAACATTGTAAAATGTGATGTCCAGAACTGGACATAATGCCTTGGCAGATTTGTAAAGATTTTACATCAGTTCCTCTGTTTTTATTCATAGAACTTAAGGACGCCAAATTTTTTTCAACTACATTACCACCTTGTTCTGGCACCACTTGGCCACACACAGATTTGCCTGGCACCTCTAATACCATCAATCTACTGTTTCTGGAAAAGATGGCAAATGCTCCATGTGTTCCTGATCTCTATTTGTGCTTCTTGTGAATGTCCATTTTCTACGCATTCAAACATATAGTCTCCAGTCTGTAGGGTGGCAATGTTAAACCTGTGCTTGATAACTAGCAGGTTCTTGTTAGAGTTGTGATACCTGTGAAGTCTTGTGGTTTTAGGTTCAAGCCGCACCTCCTCCTGTCTGAACAGGTTGATTTTAAAAATATCTGCCCATGAGGACCTAATCAATTTGGAATAATGAAAAATCAGGCTGGGGTTTGGAAAATCCCAGAGAGTGGCAATAAGCTAAGAACAGAACAATGGAATGATGCAGTGCAGAAATAAACCACTCAACCTGTTGTCTGTTCTGACTCCTTGCAGGGCTAAAGCAATTAGTCCCATTCCTCCAGTTCTGTTTCATAATTTGGGAAGTTGCGATCTTGAATAAAGTGTCTTCACATTGTAATTCCTCTTTATTGTCATGTATAACCATAGAATAATAACCACAAAACGCCACCACTGAGGGAAGCACAAATGATGAACATGACTGAGTTATTTGCTTTGTGTTTGAGAATCTGCTCCCAGTCCCATACTGTTCACACACTACAACCTGTTGTGTAACATACTGCAAGTAAGCATGCCTCCTTGGTTCAATTTACATAACCTGTATTCTCCTTCCATTTTGCTGTACACGTAACCCACAGACATGGTTAAATTGCAATGATTTGACTTCACTGTCATCAGGTGTGGTATAGATAGAGAAGTATATTCGACAATAAAACTAAATGTTGAAAATTAACGGGAAGTCTGGCCTCATTTGTCATGTCATGACCTTTCATCAGAACTTAAAGATATAGTTTTAACGTATTCTACAGTCTCCAGTTCTTTGACAGCTTTACATGTCTCGCAGGTGGTGGCAGAGGAGGCCTGGGAACGTCATAAGATGCGAAATGACTCCTTTATCGTGGATCTCTTCCAGGGTCAGTACAAGTCAAAGTTGGTGTGCCCCATATGTTACAAGGTGAGAGACTGACTGGATAAATGATATTGTGTGTGGTGCTATGATAAGTGACCGAATCCTTCAAATGACCAACTGTATCTTGAAGGTGAGGCCAATATTGTGTTTTCTTTTTGTATGAGGCATTAAACTGACGCCCTTGGTTAGATGGATGTGAAAGATTCAAAGAGTTGGTCAGTGTGAAACACTTTCCTCTGGTTTGATCAAGTCCAGAGCAAGCTGCCTTTCAGTGGTGATGTCAGGGGTACAAAGTCACACAAAGGGAAACTCCAACCTAAAACACAGACCTCTCAAGAAGCCTGAAGCTGACAGTGGGGTCTGGTAGTTGTCAAATGAAAATGAGAAAACTGGAGTAGTCAAACAAAGACTGGCAAACAGCTAAACTGGTGATCAGCAATGATTTGGTTCAGTGGTGAAATAAGCTCAGTGTTAAGCAGCCTACTCCTTTTTTTTGTTATGAACAGGTGAATCCTCCCCTGTATCCTGTTTAGTACTTAACCAACATCATTGAAAACCAACAATATGACCATTATCTTGTTGCTCTTTCTGGCACTTTACTCTGTGTCATTTGGCTGGCCTGTTTCTACATTACAATGGTAACAGCACAAGGGTGCAGAAATTATGTTTTGAGCAATCTTGCAAAAGGCATGATAAAATACAAGGCTTTCTTTCAGATTTGAACCTAGCACAAGTTAGAAATAGGCAGGGAGATGCCAAAAGCTGCAGAATTCCTGTATCTTGAAGACCTGGCATTGTCACTGTCTTGTGAATCCATGCAAATGTGCCTATCTGAGATAACAAGGTGTAGAGCTGGATGAACACAGCAGGCCAAGCAGCATCAGAGAAGCAGGAAAGCTGATGTTTCAGGCCTAGACCCTCCTTCAGAATGAATTATGTTTCGACACTGAGGTTACTGAACCTTGGAAGCGTTGTCTGAAAGCAGCAATGAAGTGCTGTTGTGAGAGGTCGAAATGGTGAATTTAACAGTTTGTAAAGTATTAAGTGTTTCTGGAGGAGTTTAAAGTCTGGCAGTATTTATTGTCAGCTCCACCGTGTGCAGTGCAACACCACCTGCCTTACCTGTGGCAGAGCCTGCCTCTCCAGAATTGGATTATTCAGCCTCCACCAAAAACCACCAGTGGTTGTTTAGTCAGTCCATGAGGGAATTGGTTTAAATGGGCCAAATCCTCTTCAAGCCCCATTACTTTATACTTTGTAAGTGCTGTAAAGGATATGCAAGCAGAACTGCCTACAGAGATGTCAAAGCACTTTGTCATTTTCCTGATATCACCTACGCATGCATGGATGGCAGAGGCAATCTTGGCATTGGCAACGTGCACTCACTCTGTTAAAATCTGTGCTGTTGAGTTCAGAGAAACTGAATTGGTGTATGCAGTTATTTGAAGGTGCAGCTGGACTTGATGGCGTGCAAATAGAGGGGAAGTGTGTTTGTTCTTCAAACAGTAGGTGGCAGCATTCCTCAAAAAACTGCTTTAAATCTGGATAGAGATTTAAATAATTTGTATTTATAAAGAGCCTTTATCATAAAGGTGGGGAGGTGATGGCCTGGTGTCATTATTGCTGGACTGTTAATCACAGACCCAGATAATGTTCTGGGCTAGAGATAGCAGGAACTGCAGATGCTGGAGAATCTGAGATAACAAGGTGTAGAGCTGGATGAACACAGCAGGCCAAGCAGCATCAGAGGAGCAGGAAGGCTGACGTTTCGGGCCTAGACCCTTCTTCAGAAATGGGGGAGGGGAAGGGGATTCTGAAATAAATAGGGAGGTGGATAGAAGATGGATATAGGAGAAGATAGGTGGAGAGGAGACGGACAGGTCAAAGAGGCGGGGATGGAGCCAGTAAAGGTGAGTGTAGGTGAGGAGGTGTGGAGGAGATAGGTCAGTCCAGGGAGGATGGACAGGTCAAGGGGGCGGGATGAGGTTAGTAGGTAGGAGATGGGGGTGGGGCTTGAGGTGGGAGGAGGGGATAGGTGGGAGGAAGGACAGGTTAGGGAGCCCGGGGACAAGCTGGGCTGGTTTTGGGATGCGGTGGGGGGAGGGGAGATTTTGAAACTATCCGCCTCCCCCTCTCTCCCTATTTATTTCAGAACCCCCTTCCCCTCCCCCTTTTCTGAAGAAGGGTCTAGGCCCGAAACGTCAGCCTTCCTGCTCCTCTGATGCTGCTTGGCCTGCTGTGTTCATCCAGCTCTACACCTTGTTATCTCTAATGTTCTGGGCACGTGGGTTCGAATCCTGGCATGGCAGACGGTGGAATTTGAATTCAATAAAATATCTGCAATTAAGAATCTGATGATGACCATGAATCCACTCTTGTTTGTCGGAAAAACTCATCTGGTTCACTAATGTCCTTTAGGGAAGGAAACTGCCATCCTGACCTGGTCTGGCCTACATGTGACTCCAGACCCACCGCAATGTGGTTGACTCATAACTGCCCTCTGGGCAATTAGGGATGGGCAATAAATGCTGCTTAGCCGGTGATGCCCTCATCCTCTTAATGAATAAAGAAAAAAACATAAAAGTCTCAAGGTACTTAAATTTTTCGTTTTAAGTCGCACCAATTAATATAAACCATGTAAAGAGATATTGGGGCAGAGCTTGGTCAAGGAAGTAGTTTTCAGAGGCGCAAGAGAGGGTTTTCCAGAGCTCAGGGGTCTAGACAGCTGACGGAATGTTACACCATTAGTGGTCAATTAAAATTGTGGCCACTTGGTGGATTAGAATTGAAGTAGTGCCGAGTTCTTGAAGCACGTCTGGAGCTAGAGGTGATTACAGATACGGTGGGGCAAGGCTATGGAAACTAGCTTCAAAATTTTAAAATCAAAAGACATTGCAGTTGTAAAATAATCTTCAGTGTTCCCTGTTCTTCTGTTAGTGCCACTGGGTCTTTTACATCCATCTAGGATAGTAAACAGAACCTTGGTTTCACATCTCATCCTACAGATGACAAACTGGTGATACAGTACTTTCTCAGAAGATTGACGAAATTCCTGGATGATGGGATCAAGTGTTAAAATAAATCCAAAAGACAATAACAAGTATAAGAATAATGGCACAAAAGAGACACTTTTCTTTCCTCTTGGTTGTGAATTCACCCCAGACTAGAAGTTGCAAGCTGCCTGCCTGCTGGCTGTGTATATACTGAGTGTGTTGGACAAGGGACAGAGAGTCTAAAGGACAAGTCTGGCACCAGCTGTGACCCTGGTTTGCTGAGGGGTGCCATGAGGATGCACATCTGAGAGTTCAGAATATTGTGCACATACTTTAGAGCACCTTAGCATTGGCACCATGGAGAGGAGACTTTAATTTGCATTTCTTGTTACCACATTTCTTGTTACCTTGTACAAGGGAGCACTAATAAAAGCTTTGCATAAACATCCATGGCCCATTGAGCCATTGCTTGCCTTGAGCACAGTTTTCCTGGAGCCCTGTGGCTGTTAGAGCACTGTGCCGTCCCTGATGGAGTCCAGCAGTTAGTGACGCTCACCTCCTCAATTTGCATTCTCAAGCTCAGGGTGCAGCTGAATGCAGGTTCACCTGCCTCTCTAGAGGAGATGTGGCTGGTGACTGCACATCAGGAAAGAAACAACTGTGACATACTTTTTGCACTTGCACTCTTGTTTCTCCCCTCTCCCTTTGAATCCCTCTGTCTTGTCTTCTATTTTAGTTGCGCTTTGATGCTTACCAGTGCCCTGTACATTGTTGCTGTCTCAATTGAAAATTTTGTTTTCCAGGTGTCGATCACATTCGATCCTTTTCTCTACCTGTCCGTCCCCCTGCCACAGAAACAGAAGTTGCTCACTGTTTACTTTTTTGCCAAGGAGCCTCATAAGAAGCCAGTAAAGGTAAGAACTGTCTGTTTCTGACAGTTTGTGTTATTGGTCAAACCTTCACTAAGCAGCACGTGCCATTCAGCTCAGTCAACTCCACTCCCTTTGAGGTTGACGTGAAAATAACCCTGCACGCTGGGAATTTCTAGGCTTGAGAAAAACCAAAGAATGTTGACTGTGTTTTCTTTGGGGAAGATGTCATTTTGGAGAGAACTTAATATTTCAGCATTAGATTCTTTATGATGATATTAACCCCACCATGCATATGACTCCATGCCCGGTTCCTCATCTCTAACATCACCTGACAATTACCTGCCTCCGCTCCTGTGCCAAAACTCTCATCCGTGCCTTTTTTTTTACCTCCAGCCTGCTGTTTCAATGCTGTCCAACCTTGCGTACTATAAGCATGTATTCACCCTAAACTCTGCCAATGTCCTAACACCCTTGAAGTCCCAGTCATTCATTATTGACTTCCTAGTTGGCCCGGTGGGCCAAAGTTGTAGTGTTGATTTCTACATTGAACGAGAACTATTAACACCGTTGATCAGACAGGTGTCAGGGATATCTTAATGGATTTACTGAGCCATTTACTGAGATCAGTATCTAGTGAGGCACCACGAAGAGCTGCTGTCATGATGGCCATGATGAAATAAGGCCAGTTTTTAAAAAAATGCCAAATGATCCACACGTGACAGGAAGATCAGATTGTTGCTGCAGCAGCAGCAGTGTTGTCACAGGTATTCCTCCACCATCTTCATCTTTCTCCATGGCTATCTGGAAGACTTCAAGTGTGCTTTTTTTTTGTCAAACGTTGATTGGAAAGAACTCTCTGCCACTTTGCAGTGTTCCACGTGCAGTGCTAAGGAATTTACATACAGAAACTTTGTTTTAATCAGGGGATTTTGTTAGCTAAATTTTAATGACCCTAATCAATTGAGAGCAACGTGATCAGTTTGGTGTATCACAGTCCCCTTTGGAAACCCCGAGTAATGCCCTATAATCCTGTTCTGAAGTGATTTCTGCTGTCCCCTTTTTTGTTTCAGTAGGATTATGGTAGCTGAATTTTAATTAGCCTAGTAAACTCGGATCATCACGATGCTGTATTTGGTGTATCACACTCCACATCAGAAAGTTCCAGTAGGGCTCCACAAAAAAAAACGCTGTCACTTTCACACACAACTTGTTCTTTTAAAGTAGGTATTGGCTCCCAGTCTGATAACACATTTGTTAAAATTTCTTATCCTTTGTCCTTCCCTATTTCTAATCTCCTGCAGACTTCGAGCCCTTTGAGACCTCAGCACTACCCCAGTTAAGGTCTTGTGAGCGTCCCTGATTTCAATCCCTCAGTTATTAGTGATTGTGTCTTTACCCACCAAAGCACTAAGCGCTGGCATTCCCTTGCTAAACCTCTCCACCCCTTAATGTCTTTCCTTTCAAACCGTCCCCAAACAGAACTCTGACCAGTTTCTTGCGATATATTTTTGAGTGTCAGATTTAGTTTTGTTATGCTTTTGTGAAGCACTTTGGACAATTTAAAGGAGACGATGTGAATATAAGTTGTTGAATAAATTGTCTCCTTTCCTGCTGCCAGGTCTTGGTGAGCGTGAGTAAGGAGAATGCAAGTGCAGCCGACGTGCTTGACGCAATCTCTCGCAATATGAAAGTGAAAGCTGACACACTACGACTGACTGAGGTGAGTCCTTCAAACTAAGCAGGCGACAACACTAAAATGCCAGCAAGGGGAGCGCACTAGGACAGACAGCATCCAAGGGGCAGGAAGTCCACGTTTCGGGTTGAAACCCTTCATCAGGGTTTCGGCCCAAAACACTGACTTTCTGCTCCTTGGATGCTGTCTGACCTGCTGTGCTTTTCCAGCCTCACCTATAGACTCTGGCTTCCAGCATCTGCAGTTCTTATTGTCTCCAAGCACACTAGGACACTGGATTTGACACTAGCCTTTCACCAAGCTTCATGTCCAGTGTTAATCTGTTAGAATTATCCTGCAGTCTCCCGGAAAAAAAATTAATCTCCAGAATATTTCTGCAAGGGAGGTTCATTTCAAACAACGTTTGTATTTTCTTTGGAGACTAATCATAGAATCCTTTCAGTGTGGAAACAGGTCCTTCGGCCCAACAAGTCCACACTGACCCTTGGAGCATCCCACCCAGAACTATCTCCCTATAACCCACCTAATCTACACATCCCTGAACACTACAGGCAATTTAGCATGGCCAATCTGCCTAGCCTGCACATCTTTGGATTGTGGGAGAAAACCAGAGCACCCGGAGGAAACCCACACAGACACGCTGCTGTTGGATTTGGCAGAATGGGGAGAATGGAATGAACATCAGGGAATCCAACAGTGAAACGTTTTTTTAAAAAAAAAGTGTTGAACCAGAGTTGGAACCCCTGTTGAGAGATGTCCTGAAAGTCTGAATGAAATTAATTTTATAATGTCCTCAAGCTAGTGAGAATGAGCTGACAACAGTGTTACATTTGCAGTCTTACTGGTGCCACAGGATGGAAGTGAATCACTTTGTCATTGGGGCTGAGACACACTCAGTGGAATAGAGGGAATTTCATTTTTCAAGCCCTGTGCTGTCCCTGTCCTGCTGTCTCTCGGTACCAGGGACCCGGGTTCGATCCCACCCTCGGGCGACTGTATGTTTGGAGTTTGCACATTCTCCCCGTGTCTGCGTGGGTTTCCTCCGGGTGCTCTGGTTTCCTCCCACAGTCCAAAGATGTGCAGGTTGGTGGACTGACCATGCTAAATTGCCCATAGTGCCCAGGGATATATTGGTTTAGTGGAAAAGCCCTGGGGAAAATTGATGCACAGAGAGATCTGGGTGTTCAGGTCCATTGTACCCTGAAGGTGGCAATGCAGGTGGATAGAGTGGTCAAGGCATATGGCATGCTTTCATTTATCAGACGGGGTATTGAGTACAACAGTTGGCAGGTCATGTTACAGCTGTATAGGACTTTGGTTCAACCACATTTGGAATACTGCATACAGTTCTGGTCGCCACTTTACCAAAAGGATGTGGATGCTTTGGAGAGGATGCAGAGGAGGTTCACCAGGATGTTGCCTGGTATGGAGGGCGCTAGCTATGAAGAGAGGTTGAGTAGATTAGGATTATTTACATTAGAAAGACGGAGTTTGAGGGGGCGGGACCTGATTGAGGTCTACAGAATCATGAGGGGTATAGTCAGGGTGGATAGCAAGAAGCTTTTTCCCAGAGTGGGGGACTCAATTACTAGGGGTCACGATTTCAAGGTGAGAGGGGAAAAGTTTAAGGGAGATATGCGTGGAAAGTTCTTTACGCAGAGGGTGGTGGGTGCCTAGAACATGTTGCCAGCAGAGGTGGTAGAGGCGGGCACGATAGCGTCATTTAAGATGTATCTAGACAGATACATGAATGGGCAGGGAGCAGAAGGATACAGATCCTTGGAAATAGAGGATCTGGATCAGCACAGGCTTGGAGGGCCGAAGGGCCTGTTCCTGTGCTGTAATTTTCTTTGTTCTTTGTTCTTGATTAACCATTGGAAATGCAGAATTACAGGGATAGGATGGGGTGGTGGGTCTGGATGGGATGCTTGTCGAAGGGTCAGTGTGGCTTCTCAGTACTGTAGGGATTCTATGGGAATGTTTGATGGGGACAGTGTAGAAGAAGTTTTAATCTAACTCTGCACTTACGAGATTGAATAACTTACTAACTCCCAACTCCTAATTGCTTATAGAAAGGGCTGAATTGTCCACTGATCTCTCATTTTGACTTACTGGCATCCCCTGTAGGTTGCAAGGAATAGATTCCATCGGATATTTCAAACGTCTCAGTCCCTGGATACTGTGTCCCCGAGCGACACACTCTTCTGCTTTGAGGTGTTGACTAAGGATCTCGCAAAGGAGAGGGTGCTCGAATTGAATGTACAACAGGTACCTGCTTTGCTCCTTACCTTGTACTGATTCTAGCTCTGAATGTTGACCAGTCATTGTCAATGAAATGGCTGGGAGTTCTTGCACGTTTGCAGTTTGTCAGTCATTGCAGTCCCCTCCTGGGTTGTTTGGCCATCAGGCTGAGGGCACTGTATAGACAATTCCATTTCTGCTCACCGTGGTCATGGTTGTTAGTAGACAAATTATCCAGAGTCTAAGCTAGTAACTGGAAGAATGACAGTTCAAAACGCCAGTGACTGTTTGAGGGTTCAGTATTCAATAAAAACTTAATGTCAGTAAAAATGGCCACGAAATTGTCAGATTGTTGTTAAAACGCACTAATTCATAATATTCTTCAGGAAAAAAGACCTGTGTTCCTTGTCACTTTGGGCTTAGATGTAAATCTCTAATATTTCAACAGTGTGTTTGGCTCGTAACTGCCCTCTGAAGTGACCCAGTGAGTTACTCAGTTGCAGCAAATCAGCTAGATGCAGCTCCAGAAAGCTCACCACCACCACTCTAGAACAGCTTGGGATGGATAGCAAATACTGGCCTTGCCAGCATCACACTCTTCCCAAGAAATTATTTTATAAAAATGCTGCCCACGCCCAATAAAACCACTGTTTAGTTCTGTCGATTTCCACAAATAGCAGTGCCCACCTTGCAAACTCACATGAGCAGAAGGTGCCAGGGCTATCCTGGGTTAATCGTACTCTGGGTGAAGATGGATGTGCTGCAGTTTATCTCCTCATACCCAGGGAAAAGAGACTTCCTGTACTTTCCTGTGGAAATGCAGTATCCCAAATGTCAGATGAGGACTAGATTGAAGTCATCTATTAATTTTATTCATGGATATTCATGACAGTGGCAGGCTTGTACTTAATGACCATCCCAAGTTACTTTTTGTATTCATAAGAACTAAGAGCAGGAGTAGGCCATTCAGCCCCTCAAGCCTGCTCCTCCATTTAATATGATTATGGCTGATCTCATCTCAGCCTCACTCCACTTTCCTGCCTGCTCCCGTTACCTATTAACCCGTTGTTAATTAAACATTTGTTTGTCTCCTCAAATTTATTCTGTTTCCCAGTGTCCACCTGCAGTGAGGAAGTGATTACTTCATTCATGGGAGGTGGGCATTGCTGGATAAGACAGCATTTATTGCCCTTAAGAAAGTGATGGTAACCTGCTTCTTGAACTACATCCCAAGGACTGCAGCAATTAATGAAGGCAGCTCATTGTCAACTTCTCAAGAGCAATCAGAGATGGGCAGTAAGGTCTAAATCCCATAACTTTTCAAAAAAAAAGAAAAGTTCAGAACCTTTAAAAATCTAGCAGCAATTAACTGTTGCCATGAGACTGTCATCTCCGTTATAGGCTTTGTTTCAACGTTACCATTTCACTGGCACAGAATTAAAATAATAGATTTTCCTAGTTAAGTTGCAAAATTGGGCATCTGTGGAGAAAATTCATTTCTCCTTCTCCATTGCTACAAACCTTCCGTGCTTGGCCTCCAGTTACATGGATACGGCTTTGTTGAAATGTTAAGCTGGCTGATATTGGTGTTGTCTGATGGCCATGTTCCACAATTGTTGAATGCAATGTGTTTTTTAATCTCTGCTAGTAATGACCCTTAAACACATTAGTTGCATTCGGTTGCTATTCTGTTATTTAGGATCTTTGTACATTGAGTATCTCATGCTATAAGTGACTCTCCCAGCTGGTAGACATGTCTAACTTGCTGCCTCTCTCTGTTTATAGCGACTGTTAATCCCTAACGTCCCGATCAACAAATGTGCTGCCTGTCAGAAACCACAGCAGCCTGATGAAAAGTTGCGGCGTTGCACCAGTTGCTACCGAGTCGCCTACTGCAATCAGTGAGTCAGCCCTTCAAATCCATACAGTACTGACATTAAGCACCAACTATGGGTACTCATTTTCTTTCTCCTATTCATGTCTGCTCACTCTACACAGATGAAAGAGAGTACTGGTTGGATTGACTGGCTGATCAACAGTCTAAGATGATATAAAAACAGAAAGAATTATGGATGCTGTAAATCAGGAACTAAAACAAAGTTGCTGGAAAAGCTCCGCAGGTT